TCCACCAGGAAAATCAGGTAGCCCATGAGCCCCAGGATCGTCAGGTAGCTCATCAGGCAGGCCGGCAGGAGAAACGCCATGAACCGCTTCAGCAGGAAAAGCACCACCATATCACGATGAGGCACATCTGCACGCACAGAAGGCTCATCTGCAGGAGCATGAGGGTCGCCAGGGTGAGGAACATCGCCATCACACAGCAGGGCACCCAGCAGGTCATCCACGGTCTTCTGCTCGAAGTCGTACTGGCCGTGGTATAACGCGGCACGGAACAGCTCGAGATTGACCAGGCTGATGCCGATCGGCATCTTGGGGATGGCAGGCGTGTCGCGTAGTGGCGCGTGCCGAGCCCAGTTGCTGTCAGCACAGGCTGCGGCCGCCAACGCGATGAGATCGGGCGACGCAGCCCCAAGAAGATCGGCAGCAGCAAGGGCGTCGCCCATCTTGGGGAGGTGGCCGCCGATGGCGTCGCTCAGGTCCCAGTGGGCGGTAAGTCCAACGCGGAGCAGGACCAAGCGCCGCTGCAGCGCCTGAGCACACGAAAGTCCGATTTCATGACGATATTGCCGCCGACGGCGACGCGCGAGCGTCCTCGCACTCGCGGCAGCCCAGCGGCTTCCGGAACTCTTGCTGAAGAAGGCGACGTCCTCCATGGCCGCTTGCGCACCTGCGCCCGAGCAGGCGCGCTGGCGAGGGCCTCCCGAAGCGCGCGGCTCGCTTGAGCCAAAATGGCTACGGAGGAGGAGGAGGAGGAGGAGGAGGAGGAGGAGGAGGAGGAGGAGGAGGAGGAGGAGCCGAGCCCAGAGCACCTCGGCGACGCATCGCCGACGCGATGGCGGCAGGCCCCCGGCAGCGCCTCCGCACCCTGCCGGGCTACGAAGCAGCGCCTCCGCACTCTCCTTGGGGGTCGGGGCGCCCGTGCCGCCGGCGCGCCACCGCCCAGGAGGCCACCGAGCGGGAGCTCGAGAAGCAGCGGAAGGCCCGCCGCGCCGTCCCCCCCCCCTCCTCCTCCTCCTCCCCCCCTCCCCTCCCCCCCTCCTCCCCCTCTCCACTTTCCTCCTCCTTCCTCCTCCTCCTCCTCCTTCCTCATCCTCCTCCACCTCATCATCCTCCTCCCCCCCTTCCTCCTCCGCCTACTCCTCCTCCTCTCCTCCTCCTCCTCCTCCTCCTCCCTTCTCACTCCTCCCTCCTCCCTCCCTCTCCCTCCTCCCTCCGCAATTCCTCCCTCCTCCCGCCTCCACATGTCTCCCTCCTCCCTCCTCCCTCCTCCATCCTCCCCCCTTCGTTCCGCCGTCCCTCTTCCTGATAGAGAGCTCCTCCCCGTGGCACCCCCAGTCGCGTCGGTGGGGGCGGGCCTGGCGTTTCGCCTGAGACTTCCTCGCCGCTGAGGACCCTGAAGCTCTAAGTTTCCAAGAGGTTTACGGACGGAGGGCGGATGGTTTTCCAAATGTCGCTCTCGCCTTAGTGCCGCGCGCATTCGTTTCAAACATTAGCGACAGTTTCACGGATGGAGGGCGGGTGGTTTTCCAAATGTGGCTCTCGCTTGAGCGCCGCGCGCATTCGCTTTCGAAGTTAGCGACAGTTTCATGGATGGAGGGAGGGGGGGTGGTTTTCTAAAAGTAGCTCTCGCCTTAGCAGCGCCACGCGCATTCGTTTGAAAGTTAGCAACAGTTTCACAGACGGATTGCGGGTGTTTTTCGAATTGTGGCGCTCGCCTTTGCGCCGCGCGCTCTCGTGTGAAAATTTGGCGACAGTATCACGTATCTGAAAATAAAGAACAGTTTCAAGGATTGAGGTCGGTAGGTTTTCAAAATGCGGCTCTTGCCTAGGCACCGCGCAGAATCGTGTTCAAAGCTTGCAGCAGTTTCACGGGTGGGGGGCGGCTCTTTTTCAACAAGTGGCTTCCGCCTCAGCGCCGCGCGCACATTCGTTTCTCAAGTGGCAGCATTTTCATGGATTCGAAAGGTCGAAATCCCAGTTTTTTTCTGGCACGATATAGCATTGACGAGGAGCGACGTTCTGGCATGACTTCGGAATGTCTGTGTGGAACGAGTTCGGCCCCTGGTTCCATCGCACACATTCGCTGGCCCCAGGCGCACGCGGCGGACGCAGGCGCGAGCAGTCGCCGCGCCGCCGCTTGGCTCGCGCGCGCCGCGGCGCGCCGCAGGCGATGTGGGCAGGCCCGCGCGCCCCCGCGCGCGGCCGCTGCCCGCCGCGGCCGCGCGCAGGTACCACAAGTTTGTGCGTGCCTGGGGCGCGCGCCGCAGCGCAGGTGCGATGCGTCGACGACTACTCTCGCGCGAGGGTCAACGGCGCTACCAGCGTGGAGGAAAAATGGCGCCACGACACGATAGACCAGTTGGTTGCACTGGCAAGTGCCTTTCACGAGGAGGTGCGCCGCGCGCAATCCAGCCTGCAGCGGCGCGTCAATCCCGTGCGCGCGCAGATTTCGATTGAGCTCGAATTTTGGAAAGCGGACGTGGGCTCCGCCTTCAGGCGCGTGCCGGTCCTGCCTAGGCACCGCGCGGTCGCATGGGTAACCTGCCGCCTGCGCGGGCGTGTCATGGCCGCCCAGCACATCACGCTGCCTTTCGGGGGCCTGGCCTGCGTGCACGGATGGGAGCGCGCGGGCGCCTTCCTGGCGGCCGCGGCGCGCAAGCTGCTGTGGCTCCCGGCGTTGCGCTACGTTGACGACTTCTTCTCGGTTGAGAGGAAGGGCCTCGCGGAGCACGCCGACAAGTGATTTGCGAGGCTGGTGCGCGCTCTCCTCGGGCCCAGCGCCATGCAGGACCGAAAAATGGCGTGGGGCCCGTCGATCGTGATCCTGGGGCTGCGCGTCCGGTCGTCGGCATCGGGCTTCCACGTCAAGCCCGACGACGATAAAGTAAAGCAGTGGATTGCCGTCATCGACGGCGCCTTGAGGTCAGGCGCGCTCACGGCCGACAAGGCGTCGAAGATGGCGGGTCGCCTGTCGTGGGCATGCTGCCGCGTGTTCGAGCGCGCCGGGCGCTCGATGGTGCGACCGCTCTTCGACCAGGCATGCGGTTCTCTGCCCCGCCTCGCGGGACACGCGAGCGACGCGCTGCGCTGGTGGCGAGACGTACTGGCACGGGACATCGCCCGCGCGCGGCCCTGGCGATGCCGCGACGCGCGCCCGCCGGTGCTCGTGCTGGCGGACGCCCGCGGCAGCCCGGCGCGACTCGCCGCAATTTTATTCACAGAAGACACGTTCGAGTGGGCCGACGTGGCCCCGCCAGAAGAATTTCTCAGGTCTCAGCGCGACGGTCCGCGGCGCGCGCGCGCGTCGGGCGTTGCGCGATTGGCGCAGCGGATTACGCGCCCGCAATGATCAGCAGATCGCGGCGCTCGAGATGCTGGCGCAGTGCGTGGCTCTGTCCACGTGGGCACGCGCGCTCGCCGGCCGCCGCGTGGTCTTCTTCTCAGACAACAGCGTCGCTGAGTGCACTTCCAGGAAGGGCGCCGCAAAGTCACGCGACCACAATTTTCTCGTGCACCAATTCTGGTCGGCGGTAGTGGCGCTCCAGGCAGCGCGGCAACCGCGCGCCGCCAGACACGCGCGCGCGGCCGCGCCACCGCGGCAGGTCCACGCGTGGATAGAGCGCGTGGAGTCGGCAGGGAACCTGGCCGACCTTCCCAGCCGCGAGGAGCGGGATTTGCTCTCGCGTCTGGGGGGGAAGAGGGTCCGTGCACAACTCGCGGAGGCCATCCGCTGTGGGCCGCCGCCCGTGAGTGCTGCGTGTTAGTAAGACTGCCCCGCGTGCGCGCGCCGCGGGGCGCGCGCGCGCGCGCGCAAGCGGAACCGGCTGCCACGCTAGCCTGCATTGCGCAAGATGGAGCTCGCCCGCGACTTTCGCCGTAGCTTCCCAGGGTGTTTCAGCGATGCGGCGGCGGCCGAGGCCGCGGCTCTACGCGTTCGGCATGGCTGGTGTTCTCTCATGCAGCTGCAGGGGCGCGGCGGCGAGACCGCCGGCTGGTGCGATCGGGCTGGCGCGAGCGAAGAGCGCCGTCGACTCGTGCGGGTGGCCGCGCTGGCCCGACCGCCCCCGGGGCCGCCCCCTGGGCGCGACGCGGTGACTGGCATGTCAAGAGGCGTGAAGCGTTTTCTAGGCGAGCGGCGCGCGCGGGCGCGGGTCGGCGTCTTCGCCGCGCAGGCAGTGTCGCATCGGTTCGCCTGGCCCGCGATTTACACCAGTGCGGAATAAAAGGTTGCTCGGCTGGCGCGCCCGCGGCGTGCGCGCGCGCGCGCGCCCGCCGGCGCGCAGGGGGTGCCTCCGATATCGCGCGTGCGGCCAGCGTACTGGCGGAGCAAGGGTTCGAGACCCACCAGGATCTCGTCGGGGCGCAGCTGAGGTGCATCGCGGACCTGCATGTCCTGCCAGCACCCCTCCTGTCGGAGCTCGATCGCTTGTGCGCCGCGGGGCCCTCTTCCGCGCGTAGCGGGGATGCGCGGAGCCGTTCTCCAGAGCGCCTGACAGCGATAGCGCCTGCATTCGAAAGGGCGATGGCGCGGCCAGGACCGCCCTCGCCACCCGTGCCAGGGGGGCCGCGTCGCAACGCGCAGCGGCTTGCGTGCCCCATGCCCTCGCAGGGGGAGCGGCGCGAATGGGCAGAACGGGCCCGATTGGAGGTCCTGGTCAGCACTATACCATCCACCCGCCGATCTTTGAAGAGCGGTGTGCGGTGCTGGCTCAATTTCGCGATAGACGTACTCGGACGTGACCAGCATCTCGCGCTGCCGCCCAGCGAGGCGCGACCAATCCGCGCAACCC